CCCCCCCCGCACCAACGTTGTAAAGCTCGTTTTGGACATGACAACTTGTACCTCTCATTGTTGCAACAGGTCCACCTGTATCTTTAAACAACTGGTTTTTCCCCAGAGGATCCAGATTTATATGGAAAACTCTTGTGGTTTAGTAAATCTGGAACATAAAGAGACATGAATCACGTAACAATGTTAAGAATTTTTGATCCAGTTTCAAAAACTTGGAGATATTTGATTCTCCAGTTGGATTAGTGGCATGTGGATGAACCTGAAAAGGAAGATTTATAGGAAAGACTATGCACCTAAACTGATTAATGAATGGTCCCCTTCATTCTTTACAAATGAAGCATTTGGTTATGTGTTTAGGATCATGTGAAAGCCAGATGCCATGATGTCACCTAAAGATCCTTGATTCTTGCTATGCATAACCTGTAGGATGCTCTCACACAGACAAACGTGTGTGTTCCATGCTAATATTTAGGAAATGATGGAATCAGATGAAAGGGTACTGTAGTCCTGCCTTCCTCTGAATCGCACACTATTTAGCAGAATCCAGGAAGCATATTTTGAAGATCCAAAAACAAATTGGGAGAGAAGCTCACACGGAGGCCTTCCTCCACCAGCTGGTCTCATCTTCATAGTCATGCAGCTCTTTCCAAAAAATGGAAAGAGAGACTTGAGCCCCAGTTAAACCATCAGCCTGAGTCTTCGGCTCAACCAACATGTTAACTGTAGCATAATTTATTATACATGGCTTATACATATTTATATTCTCTATTCTGTTAAAGAAAAAGCACATGTGTGGATATGGGTGTGAATATTTTTCTGGATGAGGAATTCTAATTTTAAGTGCTCTTTTAGTGTCACAAGAAGCCACCCTAGTTTTTCCAATTAGCTAAGTAATTACTGGTATATCTTCTGTTTTTGATAATGCATATTTTATTATTTTTCCAGACTCCATGAAACTATTAAGGAAGAAAGCTCACCCATCTGAGAAGTGACAGATTGAAGATTCAAGACAACATGTAGTTTTATATCAGTACCTATGCTTTTAATCATTTCATTTTAAATGCCTCTATTCCTGGACTCAACCCTAAATGTTCATGATTTACTATATATATAGGAGCAGTGATATTTTATTTAGGGTTTCAATTATATTTGTAGAAGTGATTGCTCTATACCATATATACTATATTTTGGCATTTGAGTATTAAAATGATGATAGCTTCATAAACCAAATTGAAATGTTATTCTTCTTTGTCTAGATTCTGTACGAACTTATTAGGTGAAGATCATATATTCTTATAAAATATGAAATAACTTATCTTGAAAGTATGAAGTTAAACCATCTGGGGCCATTTCTCTCTTCGTTCACGGGTTCATGCTCGCAGCAGCAGCTCTGGTCCGAGGCAGGGAGCCTGTGGTATCCGCCCATATTCGCTTTAATTTTCCCTTTCAATCCCAAACCTTTCCTCAATGGACTAACAGGAAAGCCAGTGATGGTGAAACTTAAGTGGGGGATGGAATACAAATGCTACCTGGTATCTGTAGATGGCTATATGAATATGCAGCTGGCAAATACAGAAGAATACATAGATGGGGCATTGTCTGGACATCTGGGTGAAGTTTTAATAAGATGTAACAATGTCCTTTATATCAGAGGTGTTGAAGAAGAAGAAGAAGATGGGGAAATGAGAGAATAGCCACTTGGGGGATCTTTTTTTTGGGGGGGGTTCAATCGCGGGGCCTGAACTCTGGGCCTGGGCGCTGTCCCTCAGCTCTTCAGCTCAAGGCTAGCGCTCTACCACTTGAGCCACAGCGCCACTTCCGGCTTTTTTCTTTTTGCTTATGTGGTGCTGGGAATAGAACCCAGGGCCTCAGGCATGCAAGGCAAGCATTCTACCACTGAGCCACCTTCCCAGCCCCGACTTGGGGGATCTTTTATATATACATATATAAATATATTTCTAGACAATAAAAATTTGTCAGTCTGAAAAAAAAATCTGACTTCAGAACTATTTTGAGAATATTTTGAGCCTCTCCTGTATACATATATCTTTAAAATAATCATGATTTAAAGACAAGGAAGATTTTTTCGTCTTTTGTTTTTGTTGTTGCTTTGTTTTGTGTGTCATGGGGCTTGAACTCTGGATCTGGGTGCTGTCCCTGAGCTCTTCAGCTCAAGGCTAGCACTCTACACTTGAGCCACAGCACCACTTCCAGTTTTCTGGTGGTTTCTTGGAGATAAGAGTCTCATAGACTTTCCTGCCTGGGCTGGTTTTGTACTGCAATCCACAGATCTCAGCCTCCTGAGTAGCTAGGACTATAGGTGTAAGCTACCATTACCCAGCTAAGGAAAAAAAAATTAAGGAAGATTTGGAAGCTAGTTTGCCATCTAATACTTTATGTTGTAATTCCAATAAAGTAGTTTTCTTATATAACTACAATACAACCATCAAAATCAGAGCTTAAAAATGTCTTTTTCATCTTATTTTCATATATCATTAAATTTTCTTTCTTTCATGTTTCTTCCCTATTCCTTCCTTCCTTCCCTCCCTCCCTCTCTTCCTCCCTCCCCCTCTTCCTTTTTTCCTTCCTTTTTTCTTTTATCTTTATTCATTTTTTTTGCCAGTGCTGGGCTTACATCATTTCCCTGATCTTTGTGCTCAAAATGAGCGCTGTAGGACTGGGAAGGTGGCTCAGTGGTAGAGCGCTTCCCTTGCATGCCTGAGGCACTGGATTCAATTTCTCAGCACCACACAAACAGAAAAAGCCAGACGTGGTGCTGTGGCTCAAGTGGTAGAGTTCTAGCCTTGAGCTGAAGAGCTGAGGGACAGTGTCCAGGCCCAGAGTTCAGGCCCCATGACTGACAAAAAAAAGGTGGGG